ATATCAATAGTAAATCAAAGTTATCTCAATTATATATCAGCGGTATATCAGTGCTATAAACTTAAACATTGTATTATTTAGACATCCGTTTTTTTCAAAAAAAAAAAAAAGATTTGCTATATTTACCAAACTAAAATGTAGTTGCTAAATTTATTATTTTGTTAATTTTGTTTTGGCTATATTTGTAATTGCCCCTTAAAGACAATATTGAAAGTTTTAAGAGAGAAAAAGTAGGGATAAGTTAAAAAAAAAAGAATATATGCAAAATATAGCAAATGATCCCTAATCCTCCATGTAATTTTTAATTTGGTCCTTAATCTTTTATAATTTTTTTTATGTTATATATATATTTTTTTAAGAAAATATCTTTAGTATAATAAAAAGTTCAAACTAGGTTCTTTGATAAAATTTTTGTTAAATAAAATGTTGATGGATTATTAAATTATTATTTTATTAGCATATCAGGACATACATACATGTTGCTCCATGCTATTTGACACATGAAATTCTAACCTGTCCATCAACAAAATTCATTCCTTTTAAGTGACATGTTTAAATGTCCAAAAAATATATAATTATTAATTTTTAATACAAAATGCGACGGAAGGAATTGGAACTGATCAACTTTTAATTGGAAAAAAGATACATGTTTTAACCAATTGAGCTATGCTCACATTGAAACATGTACAAATAACTAGAATTTTAAAAGATTAAGAACCAAAATTGAGAATTATCTAAAATATTAAAAATCATGGGTGTACTTAGCGAAAAATTTATATCACATCAATTAACAACTAACATTTATATTTAACTAAAAAATTTATATTCTTTAAGAAAAAAATCATTTGTCTCAAAATTTGCATTAGAGATATTTATGTGACACAGAGATAGACATTTATCCAGAATATTTATTATGGAACAAATTAAAAAGTTTTTTTTATTCTGTAAAATTTATTGCAAAGTTTGTTTTGATCCCTTCTTGCTGTAGTTTATAATTTATATGTGTTTGTTTTTCGGGAAAATGTATTAGCTGACATAGACAAATGAGCATTTGCAATAAATTTGAAATAAACCATTTGTCCCCACACATGCATTAAATTGGTCTTTTCCAAAAGATAAGAACAAGCTATTAAATATTAAATATCTAAGGATATTTTCGTATGTACATAATTTCGTTATCAATATAAAGAATAAACCAAAATTTTTCACTATATCACAAAAAAAAAAGATAAAATATCAAAAAATATCAAAAAAATATGGCTAATATAAATATAAGATTAATACCAATAACTTTTAAAATGGTGAAAAGTAAATTTGTTAATTTAAATATTTATCATTAACTTTTTATTTTTATAATTGTTTTAGAAATACACATCAACATCAACATTTTATCTATATTTTCATAAAATTGAGACTTTCACATTTCTATTGACATCGACATTTAAAAATTAATAAGAGACTCATTTTCTCTGGATTAATCAATTTTCGTTAGACTTAGCTTGAATATAAACCTTTTAGGATCAAATGAGCTCTTTTCATAACCATAATAATATAGATTTTTACTTATTATATATCCACACGATTCTTCAGATTTAAATAGTTGTTGACATTGCACTGTTTCAAATTTCTTCTAAACTTTTCAAAGAATTATTGTTTTCTTCAAATATTTATGAATTGTTGAAAATATTATTGAAACCCTTAGAATAACATACATACTTGCTATATGTATATCTTCAATACACCCATTCGAACAAAACTTAATTGATTAAAGCATCAAATGATCTCTTAGGAATAGTTTGATTTTTAGGAAGATAGATGTTTGACATCTTCGGATGTGTCCATAATTTTCAATGTCGGACATATTTAATAGTCACGTTTGATTGGTAAGAAAATTTTAAGGATGTGAGAGAATATGTAGATATACTTTGTTTTTTGGGATGTTTTAAATTTGTATAATGTTCTAAAAATGAGCTTACGTATATTCATATAATTAATTTATTAAGATTTGTATTTATATATTTGTTTTTATTAATTTAATATTTTATTTTTCTATATTAGTTTTGTATATATTTTTTAGAACGAATTAGGTCATGTTAATATAATATTGTTTTAACAAAATAATTAAATATTAAATATAAATTTGATTTTCAACTTTAATGTCTTTCTAAAAAGATAATTATATAATTAGTGTTATCTTAGATTAAATTTATCTATCCTATTATCCCAATTATATAAATAGACTTAGTTGCATAAATTTCTTCATGAGTCAATTAGTACATTAATTTCTTAAATTATAACATTAAAAAAATACAAATAAAGAAAATTTATAAAAGTAAATATATGAAAAAAAATGAAGGGTAAAAATATAAAGGTATGATAAATATAGAAAATCTCATAAATCATGTTTCAAAAGGGCATCCAAAATACGTTACACGTTTCCCGCATGGGCATTATATGATATTCAGGCATTTTGAGATGACCAAATATATCTTACCTTCCTATAAAACAAACATGAGATTCCAGATAACCGTCCAATGAGACTTTTGGATTCCAAATGACCTCTTAAAAGTTAGAAGTTCAAACCTACACTCCCACCCTTTCGTTGATGATGAAAAAAATGTAACTCAACCATTATCAACATCAACAACATGCCATCTTCGGTTTAAAAAATCATAACTTTTTTGGAAAAAATCTTAACTTTTGAAGCTCAATGAACCTTCAGAAGAATTTTTTTTAAATACTTTTCAAGAGGCTTAGGAGCAAAAAGAAAAAAAAAAAGAAGAAAAGAAAACGTATATTAGGAAAATCAAAGGTTCATTGTTAGTATTATTATTTTTATAATATAAAAAAATCAAAGGTTCTTGATTTAGAAAAAACATGATCTAAAATGGAAAAGATTCTCCGAGTTTCTTTGGAAGTGTAGGAAGATATAATATTAAAGTATTTGGTGTCTAATACAGAAATTTGGAAATAAGAGATTAAATAAAAAACAAAGTTATATTCGTGTTTCATAATATATATTTGATACTTGGTAGCAAATTTAGAAATGGAATATCAATTTAAAAAATTATTCAACGTAATATATTTGATAAACTAGTGGGAGTTATCAACTAAATATTTAGTTTAATCTAAATAATATTAATTAATTTATCAACAATTTTTTTTGTTATAAATTTTGTTTAGAATTATTATTTTACAATATTATATTTTACGTGCATACCAAGCCGATCCTAAGTCACTGTTTAAATCCAAATATTTCATTTTATGAGTTAAGGTAAATTTAATCATTTATTTATATTTTAACACTCCCCTCACTTGTGGGCTTTAAATTTGCACAAAATCTAACAAGTGGTTATCAATATTAATTAGAGAGGAAATGACATTATAGAGGTTCGAACAATTTGCACTTATATCATATTAAAATCATCAATTCAAAAGCTTATAGATATTGGGTTTGTAAGGTGAATGCAAACAAAGTCTCGCATTGACTACTGAATAGCATGATCCATGGTATATAGATAAAGACAATTATCTCGTATGAGACTTTTTGGGTGAAACTAAGAGAAAAGCCATATAAGATGGCATAAACTGACCTGAAGAGTTACCCATATAAGATAATTAGGTTATATGATAGATATTAAATGATTGGAGAAAAAAAAATCACTTGTCATGTGCACCACAAACAAATTTATCCAAAATATTGATTATGGAAAAAAAGGTGCCTTCTTTTTACTTTTTTATCCCAACAAACTATGTTTGGAATTGTAAAATTAAACTTCTATAATTTTATTCGAAAATATATAACTTAATTAGTTGAGATAAATTCAATACAGAATATTAGTTGACATTTATTTACAATAAATTTAAAGTAAGCCATTTGTCCCCCACAGCAACCAATCGTGCGTATTAAAAGCGAACCATTCAATAAGTTGCACTTTCCAAAATATCAGAGACAATTTTTTTCTCAATACTCATCAATTTTTTGTTATTATCAATTATCCATTCCTAAAAATAATTATAACAATAGATTATCTAATCTCGCTTTTTTACCGTGGCAACTCTTATTTATGTCTGGGACAAAATTTTACATTCTTTTTTCCTTGAAAAAGAAAACACCGAACCATTAATTCAAAAGGTAGGTGAGAAACATATAATAAGAAGAGGCTAAATAGAAGTGTTACAGTGAGATGATGGGAATATCATAATTACAAAAGAAGATCGATTTGATGGACCTAGAGGAAGCAGTCGTCTTAATATCATCTCACAGAGAGCCTGCAGATCTATATTTATCTGAGAAATTTATTTCTCTCCAGCCAAATAAATTAAACCAAATGACAGAACAGAACCCATGACATGAAAAAGCACATTTCTACTATTTGAGAGAGGTGTATTTATGCATTCTACTGTTTTGACAAGATTTTACATTTAACTTTCTAAAAATGTATATAAACACTCAATTTTGAAAATTTAGGAGACAAAATAAAATTATCCCTTTTTATTTAATCCATGTGCAAATATTACTCTCTTAGATCGCGTCAAAACTTTTGTTAGTATAGTAACAAACATGTCAATTCTTAACTTTTTAGAAAATAATAATCTAAAGTTCAATGGTTTATGATTTCCACGTAAAAGAAAATTTAACATTTGCACGTAGTCAGAGTTTGTATAAAGTACAAAAAAGTAAATAAATAAAAAAGCATATACCAAAAGTACTTTTTAAGTTAAAAGCACTCATTAATTACCTCAAATTTTTTTAGCACTGATTTATATTCTTTTTATTTTTTAATTTCTTTGTTTCTTTTACTATTTGAGAAAAAAAAATTGCCATATTTTATCACTTATTTTATATATTTTTTTTAGTACAATACGTGGGTGGGTATCGAACTCACAACCTCAATTATCGTTGAACTATGTCCGTTTTGGCATTGGCATATTTATTAGAGTTACTGATTTATATATATTTGGTGGTTGCAAATTGTTTACACTAAGAGAAAAGGAAAAAAGGACAAACATCTTTGTTTTTATTACAAAACTAAGTATCAAGATATATTTATATTATATGTAATAAAGAACATTGCTATAATGAAGCTATAGAAGATGGTGGAATCTGAGAAGGATCTCCAAACCATCCCATCACAACAAACGATCAAAAACTGACCATTATTGAACCATAACGCAACCAAATATAACACAATCCAAAGGGAAAATCCAAGAAGAAAACACGAACTTAGAAGGTAATTAGGGAGAGAGAGATCAAGCTGGGCATTGGAAGCCATATGGAACCTTCTTTCCACAGTAGTTCAAAAGCAAGCTTAGAGAAACCGATAGGTCAATGTTGAGTCCCAAAGCTTTAGCCTTAATCGCGGTGCAGAGGCAGACAGCAGCTTCAAGATCAGCCAGGCCCTGGATCAGCGTGCAACATGGGGTTTTCGGTGGTGTGCCGATCACCACGTGCACCAAACCGTCTAGCACGTCGGCGCAAACCCCCAACTTGAGGGTGTCGGTTGGGCACCGGGGCTGTGGTGCGTGGTGCTTCGGGGGGCCGCCCTTGTAGGGCTTTGATGGCGGTGGCGGGCAAGGGACACGGGTGGAGGTAACCAGAGTGAAGAAGAGGAGGTTGAGGAGGAGGAGAAAGGAAGTGGATGATGTGAGTTTGGAAGCCATTGATGGAAAGATATTGAAGCTTTTTTGTGATGATTTTTTCTTGAAATGGATGCCAATGGTGTGGAGAGTGGGGAGGTGAATTAGGGTTTTTATAGATGGAGGGATTGAGATTTTTTTTTTAAATGGGGATTATGATAATGAGCCAAAATGGCCAACTTGAGCTGGGCACATTGGATTGGAGAAGGGACAAGCTTGGCAGCTCAAGATCATATGAATATGAGACTTTTTTTTCATCTTGGAAATTTGGCATTTTCCTAAAGGATTGGTTGTCAATTAAAAAGAATATATAATAATAATAAAGAAAAATCTTTTTTAGAATGGTTGGTTGTCAATTGTACCATCTATCTCTCTCAAAAAAATATTTAAATTCAGTTCATACTTTGTAATTTCTTGTTATGATCTTTTTTTCTTTTTCTAAATGAGTTATGATCTTTGTTTAGGTTTACATTGATATGATTTAAGAGTTGTAGTGATTAAATTTTTAAAAATTGTTAAATGAATCAAGTAATTATTGGATTTTATCCAAAATAGCAAAGTCACTAAATCACTTTTTATTTTTTTATATCAAAGTTGATACTAAAACTTTATAAGTTCATCAAATTGCACCTTCAATTTTGATAACTATTGCAAAACATTCACCTTAACTTTAAACAACGTTATGATAATTGAAAAAGACTCTATGTCTTATGAATTATAAAACATTTGGTATGAAATCGATTGAAGTTCATACAAAAAAGACACTAGAGCTCGTGTTCATTTTTTTTTCTTTTTTAAAGTATTAGTTTTGATATAGTTATTTAAGGGTGGATTATGTACATTAATCCAACTTAATTTTGTACCAAGATTGTTTTCATTAAATTAGCGAGTTTTTAGAACTTTTTACATTTTTTTATTAAACTAATGAGAGATTTTAAAAAAATTGAAGTGATTGGTAAAAGTCGTAACACTTATCAAAATTTTAACTATAATTTGATTAAATTAAAAATTCATGGACAAAATTGATACATCTTTACCAAATTTAGGATCAAAATTGATCTTTTGCCTATTTTTAACACTTAGGGGTAACTATTACATTTTGCCAAAATGAAAATACTAGATTATTGTTGCAACAAGTATAGGAAAAAAAGTATTAAGGGATTCTACGTTGAAAAGATGAGGGACCTAACAAGAGCTTATAATAGATATAGGTTACTTCTCTCATTGCCAATTAGTTTCGAAATGAAATCCTATGGATATTGATATGGTATCAGAGTCCAAAACACTCAAACAAGCATCTGATCCAAAAAATAATATTCGATCCAAGATTGGTGAACCCAAAAGAGGCACCATCATAAAGGGGTCCGCTAAGGATCCCACATTAAAAAGATAAGAAAAAAAAAGACTCCGACATAAAGAGCTCGTTAAAAATGAATGTATATGGAACGCCCAAGTTTTTGGTCTACTTAATAAAGCTTTAAGGTTAGAGTTGAGAGAGATGGGATTTGAATTAGTTTTGTCTGTGTTGAAAATGAAAAGACAATACAAGAGCTACGAAAAGCTTATTGAAAAAATACTTTGAAATGCAAAGATGTACGAAACTTCCCAAATGGGATTCGATAGCTTTTTCAATGTCAAATTGTCAAGCAATGAAAGAAACAAAGCTCTTCGACAAGTCCTTTCGACCATTTAGTCTTTTCAAAGTTTTTATTTTATCCATTTTTAAAATAATAAAGAAGTGGTCTCTGTTTAAATTCATGGTTTCATCTCAATGGATCATGAGAGGAGTAGTTCATACCCCTTCGAATGGTAGTTCTTTTTGGGGTCATCAAATCTTGGCCTGATCCAAGTTTTGGACTGATTTCATTTGAGTTTGCCAGGTTCTGATGCTCTATTAAGATTATAGTGCTGGTTTTGACAATGAAATGTAGTCTATCTTTTCAAGGTAGTATCCCGATACTAACGCTCACAACGGTAAATTTGAATTTTTTTTATGACTAAAGTCAAATCTAAAGTATTTAAATAAGGTGGGATATTTAAGTGTCAGTGTAGGAAGTGTTTTCTCTCATTTCACGATTTTAGTTTTTCTTTCAGTATTTTTGTTTATTTAATTTTTGTTTTTTAAGAAAGAAAACCAGGAAAAGAAATGTCTTTTTAGAAATTGTGTTTAATTGAAAAATGTTTTTTTTACAAAAAAATATTCAAAATCATTGTCATCTTTTTTCTTTTTTCTATTTATTTTAAAAGTTAAAAATAATAAATTATTGTCAATATTTATGTTCTTGAAAATAGAAAAAAAAAAATTCCATTTCTTTTTCCTTCTACAACTTGTATACATAAATTTAGAGACAATTATTACACAATGAACCATTATGTGTCATACACGTTTCCCAAAAACTAAAACAATGAAATACTATACGAGAAACATGAACATTGTCAGACAACTATTTTTCAGCATAAGGTGTCACAATAGTCACTTTTTAAACATACACAAGTGAACAAAAATTGAAATTACAAAGGTATAAAAAAAATTGAAAACTACATATACCAAAATAAATAAAAAATCGAAAGTAGGGATATCAAAATAGTATTTAAACTTGGAAGAACAAAAGATCTCTTATAAGTAAATGGTATTTTGATAATTATGAAAAAACCCTCCAAGCTAGTTAATGGATAATTGATGACATCCAAAAACTTTCCAACCTTAAATAATGTTTATTAGAGCCAAACCGAACATAGCTCAAATGATTTAGACACTTATCTCTGACCAGAAGATCATGAGTTCGAACCTCCACCTCCACAATATTGTACTAAAAAAATAATGTTTATTAGAAGAAAGATAATTATTTTGCGAAGATAACTGAGTCTTCTCTATGTTTATTCATATTAATATGTTGCTAATAACTTTAAGTTTAAGTTTACATGATTTATTTTTAGACTCTACTTAAAAAAGAAAATTTTATATTGACAAAGATGTTTTCCTTATTTATAAAATTCATGGTTGTTCACTCCCAAATTTCCAAGTAAATTGTTTTAATCTATTTATGAAATTTGGGCCGACGTCTAAAAGTATGTACATTTCATCATTGTTTGACTTCCTAAGTGTACGAATCGTAACAACTAATATAGAAGATAATAACTCATTGTCTCCGCAGAGAATGATAATTACTAAATACTAAACTCTACCCTTCAATTTTATTTAAATGCTGAAAATTTAATGGCGCGCTCTATTAAGGATCCCACAGAAGAAAAAAGAGACCTTACATAAGTTTGTAATAGATATGGACTATTCCTCTCATGGTCAATTGGTTACCCATGAATATTAATACCCTCCTCTCTGCTTTTGGCATAATCTTCGTGGCTTTACTTTTGATTTCACCAAAAAGATCTCATACCAATAAAGATAATTACCCTTACGTATATACCATGAATCAATCTCTTTATCAACTATTGAAGACACAAGAAACGCAATTACACAAAGCAATTACCTCTTGCATATGTACGATTATAGAGATATTAGGCATACCCCAAGTATAAGGACAAAAAGGTCAAAGGGCCGCCAACTCCTAGGTAATAAAAAAAAAATCTCTTCCTCAACTAATGTGAGACTTTCTTTGTACTCCTTACAAGCCCGAAACTTAAAAAAAGTAAAACTAAACGCTCGAAAGCGCCCCATTTTTACTAATTCCAAAATTAACGCATCATTCATCTAGCTATAGATGTCTAAATCAGAAGGCATGTGATTACTTTGATACATGTTCTTGTCATATACTTGGGAAAGTGAGAGAACAATATATAATTAATTAATAGTGTACCAAAATATGAAATTTTATGCTTCAATACTTGATGTTTTGGTGTTGTATGGATCAATGGAAGCACATGGGTTGGGGACCTAATCTTCCATTAACATGAAAGATTCTGATCTAATGCTTCATCTATCATAGGAGAAAAAGAGGGTATCATTTTACCATTTTAGTCATTTCTATTATTTGGATTTAACTTGGGTCCATATAATTTTAAAATTATTTTTAATTTAATGATTCCTATCATGCAGTCAAATCTTTCAAAACATTCATGTTGTTATCAAATTTGAATAAAACCTCCATATGACTATTACAATTTTATCGTTGTAGTCCTTTCTATTATTATAATTTTTGTCCATATAATTTTAAAATTATTTTAATTTAATAATTCCTATTAGGTAGTCAAATCTTCCAAAATAGTCATGTTCTTATCAAATTTGAATAAAACCTCCATATGATTATTACATGACATGCTATTTTGGATATCTGCGGTAAGCTCACATCCTAAAACTGTTGGACAAAATTACTCTCTCGAAATTTTCTCAAACCGTCGGAAAAGTAAAATTTTCCCTACCATATTATATTAAAAAAAAGTCGAGAAAAGTGACATTTTCTCGACCTTTTCTAAAAGATTGGGAAAATGTAACCGTCGGGAAAAAAAGATTTAATTATTTTCTTTTGGAAAATAAAAATTCTTAATTATCATGTAACTACGTTTTAACAATGTAAATTTTTTTGTCATAAAAAGAAACGTTGAATATTATAATTTTTTTTCTTTGAATGATATTAAATATTTCTTTATTTATTAAATTTCTGTTTGTCTCGACATTTTTTAGTTTTGGATACGTTATTGTAACAAAAGTTAATAGTTTGATCTCTATCTACCGTTCTTAAACCAAAAATAGACTACCTCGTCGATATGGAGTGTTGGAGTTTACCATTGCCATAAGTGTATTTAAACTCGTTTTTATGATACTTTTTTAATATTATAAAAACTATAACTCATTATTAGCTGTATTTTTTGTGATATTAAAAAAAGTTATCAGAGAAAATAATTAAGGATTATGGTTTTCCAAATTTCTATTTCTTCCTATTTTCTTTGTTTTATTTTTTGTTTTTATATTTTTCTTTTCTAGTTGATAGATTATGGTTTGTTTTGTTTTAATCCTAGTTTTATAAAGCTAGGATATGGTTTAATTTAATTATAGATATTCATGACTTTTGTTATTTTTTATTAAGTGCATGAATTATTTCTAACATGTTGGGCGTTTTTTATTCTGAACTTTTGTAA